CTTAGTACGCCACTGCCCTAGATGGACCTGGCACCCAGACCACTTCATTGAGCTGAAGTGATCTGGGTGCCTATAGTGGTCCTTTAATATACACATAACCAATTAGAACATAATGGCAATATATTTTCCAAATATTTCTTATAGTCATCAACCATGCAACAAATCCCATTAGTGCAGATTATTTATAAGTAATGTCTACTTAAACTATTTGTAGTCTGACTAACTCTTAATATACACAGTTCGTGCTAATTTGGAGGGGGACACCATGGGCACCATGGAATTTTTCCAGGGGGGGCATAATTGTAATGACATCCATGCTTGACCCCTTTTTTACAATGTCATGAAGAGCATAGTCATTATCACATAAAGCCAAGGTGAATAGTGTTTTCACAACTATGGTGTCAGGAATACATGTTTGTATTTCTGAGACTATAGTGTTCCTTTAATCAAATTAAAGGAACATTCAGGTCACCATTACAACTTCAGCTAAATTAAAATTCAATGATGCCAGGAGGCCCCTGGATGCTCTCTTTCTTTTAAAGGGTTAAATCTCTCTCAAATGGTTTACCCTCAAAGGCTTCCTCCAGCTCCAAATCTCCAGGTCAAAAAGTGCAGATTGACGTCAGGCATGGGTGCCGCTGATTGGCTAGAGTGGTTGGCTAGTTAGTACACCTATTGTACAGCGCTACGGAATCTGATGGCGCCATATAAATAATAAATTAATAATAATTATAATTTGCTTCTTTTTTAACATAATGACACACACATTGACTGATCCAGTCACACAATCACAGTGTGTGTTTGGCAGTGTGCATTAGTATATTGGTACCTGTGTGTTCATGTCTGGCATTGAGTGGCATGTATGTACCTGAGAGTATGTATCTGGCAGTGAGTATGCTTGTGTATCTGTGTGTATGTGTATACATGACTGTGGCTGTAATGCATGTCTGTATCTGTGTGTGACTGTGCATCTCTGTGTTTGTTTGGAGGGAACTGCTTGCATTTTGTTGCGTGTATGAAAGGGACTGGTTGTAGTCTTGCTGTGTGCATTGGGTTTACAGTACAGCCTTGTTGTATGTGTAAGGGGTGATTGTGTAAGTATGAGGGTTACTGTCTGTGGAGTGGTGTGTATGCCTGTGTGTTTATGAGAGTGGCTGTGGCAGGGTTGTTGTGACTGAGTGAGTGTGACATGGTCACTGTAGAGTGAGTATAACAGGGTGACTTGCAGTGCCACTCTGTGTGAGGGGTACAGTGCCTTGCAAAAGTATTCACCCCCTTGGCATTTTTCGTGTTTTGTTGCCTCACAGCCTGGAATTAACATGGATTGTTTGTGGATTTGCATCATTTAATTTACCCACAACTATGAAGATTTTTTTTTTTTAATTGTGAAGCAAACAACAAATAGGACAAAATAACAGAAAAGGTCAATGTGCATAACTATTCCCCCCACTAAAGTCAATACTTTGTAGAGCCACCTTTTGCGGCAATCACAGCTCCAAGTCGCTTTGGATAAGTCTCTATGACTTATCCACATCTTGCCACATCTTACCACTGGGATCTTTGCCCATTCCACCTTGCAAAACTGCTCAAGCTCCTTCAAGTTGGATGGTTTGTGCTTGTGAACAGCAATCTTTAAGTCTGACCACAGATTTTCTATTGGATTGTGGTCTGGGCTTTGACTAGGCCATTCCAACACATTTACATGTTTCCCCTTAAACCACTGAAGTGTTGCTTTAGCAGTGTGTATGGGGTCATTGTCCTGCTGGAAGGTGAACCTCCGTCCTAGCCTCAAATCATGCACAGAGTGGTATAGGCTTTGCTCAAGAATATCCCTGTATTTAGCACAATCCATCTTTCCCTCAACTATGACCAGTTTCCCAGTCCTGGCTGGTGTTCTTTGGGTGATGTGATATGTTGGGTTTGCGCCAGACATAGCATTTTCTTTGATGGCCGAAAAGTTCAATTTTAGTCTCATGAGACCAGATCACCTTCCTCCATACATTTTTGGAGTCTCCCACATGCCTTTTCGCAAACTCAAAACGTGCCATTTTGTTTTTTCCTGAAAGTAATGGCTTTCTTCTGGCCACTCTGCCATAAAGCCCAACTCTATGGAGCGTACAGCTTATTGTCGTCCTATGTACAGATACTCCAGTCTCTGCTGTGGAACTCTGCAGGGTTACCTTAGGTCTCTGTGCTGCCTCTCTGATTAATGCCCTACTTGCCCGGTCCGTGAGGTTTGGTGGGCGGCCATCTCTTGGCAGGTTTGCTGTTGTGCCTTTCCATTTGGTTATGATAGATTTGATGGTGCTCCTGGGGATCATCAAAGATGTAGGTATTTTTTTATAACCTAACCCTGACTTGCACTTCTCAACAACATTGTCCCTTAGTTGTTTGGAGAGATCCTTGGTCTTCATGGCAGTGTTTGGTTAGTGGTGCCTCTTGCTCAGGTGTTGCAGCCTCTGGGGCCTTTCAAAAAAGGTGTGTATATGTAATGACAGATCATGTGACACAGACTGCACACAGGTGAACATCATTTCACTAATTATGTGACTTCTGAAGGTAATTGGTTGCACCAGAGCTTTTTATGGGCTTCATAACAAAAAGGGGTGAAAGGGGGTGAATACATACGCACATGCCAATTTTCTGTTTTTTATTTCTAAAAAATAGTTTTTTGTATATATTTTTCTAATTTCACTTCACCAACTTAGACTATTGTGTTCTGATCCATCACATAAAATTCAGATTAATAAAACATTGAACTTAAGGCTGTAATGTTACAAAATAGGTAAAAAGTCAAGGGTGGTGAATACTTTTGCAAGGCACTGTAAGTGTGGTGAGTGGCTGTGACATGTGAGGCATTACTGTGGGGGTGACTCTGTGTGTGTAGGAGGGAGGGGGTGATGTGGCAGGGTAACTGGGTGTGTGTGGAAGGGGTGATGTGATATGGTAACGGTGTGTGTGTGGGGGGGGGATTGGGATGAGATGATGTGACAGAGTGATTGTATGTGGGGAGGCTGTATTTCCCTGTTCAGCACTCTACTGCTCTACTGCTCATTACCTTTTAGCAAACTTTCAAAAATATAATGCAGATGAATTAAATGAATATTAAGAGGCTACTTGAAGAATTTAACTAGCCTTCTCAAATCAACATGGTACAATATCTGCCCAACAGTGTTCTATTTATTATATGCAATTGTATTATATATGTTTGTGAGTGTAATTGTGTTGTACTTCTTTCTTGTGCCTTTTTAAACTAATAGCCTATAACTAGGCACTCTTCTGTCATTTGCAGGTTTACTCAGACAACAGAAATAGGTCAAGATATATATATATATTAACAGGTTCCAGCAGACCACAATTATTCTTATTTCTGGGAAATGGCAACAATTACAACATTTTCTTCATATCTTTTTTTTTTTTTTTTTACAACTATACTTTTTAACACAATAATGTTTAATAATGAAAATAAATAAAGCTTCACTTGATATTGTAGTATTTCTCAAATATTATATAACTTGAAATGTGATGTATGTCTCCACCTAGTGGAGGACATCATTATAGCACTTTTCAAGTTCAATAGCATGGTTGCTGACAGTTTCTCAGTCCCTGTCCTTTTACTTGGATACACAGTTTATCCATGAGTCATTACAACTGCTTAAAGTGAACAATGTAAAATATAGAGATTTACTAACCTCTCCTCCATTCCAGCATTGTCATCTTCGAGTTTCGTGGGCAAACATTTTGTCCTCCACCCCACCTCCTGTCTTCTTTGCTTTGATCTGCTTTGGGGATGCTTCTCCAAGCAGGGCAAATCTCCTCAATGATGTCAGCATGACAGCTTTGGAAAGTAGTGACTGTAACCAACTTACCTGCTCAATGCACCCGAACTACTCCACTTGTCGGGCGGCAAAGGGAAATAGCGAATGCTGATCATACTTACCAATTTGGCAACGGAGAACCGCTCCTCTTTCTAGTTCGTGAAAGCTGAATTCAAGGAGACAGGAAAGATGTGTAATCAGAAAAGGGAAATACCGAATGTTAATCATATTTACCAATTCAGTGCTGGTGAAGCGGTCCTTTCAGTTTGTGCTGGCTGAATTCAAGTAGACAGCCACTTCTTCCCTACTGTTTGTTGAATGCTGCCCACTTTAATGGTGCATCCTTACATAGTATAACTAATGTTACATCACACCCGCCCATAAAGTGACCACGTCATCAAGGCGATCCCCATTAGAATACTTTTTGGACCAATAAGTTATTGGGTAAGCCTAATTAAAGTTTATTTTGGGCCAGTATTCAGTGCCTTGATGTGGTTTCTGCCCTGATACATGTTTAGTGCTTATAGTAAGTCTGTCTTGATATACTTCGTGTATTTTTGGTATTCTGACCTGGATTGTTTCTGACTTTGAGTATTTCTGGAATCCTGACCTGGCTTGTTTATTTATCCGTATTTCTATATAATAGCATTTACTAACATTGTCTTTATCTTTCTTACATTAAGTCCGGCCACTCTAAAGCCTCTTTATATGTCTGTTTAGTACCTTTGTTAGTGAGATTCGCCACTTCCTGTAAATTAGGGTTTTATCTTTTGACATTACGATAGATCCTTACACCCTGTACCCATGCCATCACAGACAGTGCCTGTTGTATTGGAAGCTTCCAATCACAGCAGTATGTTCACCAACCTGACTCCACCTCCTAGATATGAAGGTGATAAGAAAACTTGTAGTGGGTTTATTAAATACATTTCATTTTGAGATATCTCCCAGGTGTTTCCTTACTGACAGGCCTAACATTGGATTTTTCATGCAACAACTTACTGACAAGGCCTTCTAGTGGACTAATACATTATGGAAGGCTAATAGGTCACTGGTATACGATTGTCAGAGCTTTGTAACATTTTTCCCTAAAGTGTTTGATCCACCAGGTAGGGAGGGAAGTGCAGCCAAAGCCCTGATGAAAATCAAATAGGGAAACAAATCATTAGCTGGTTATGCCATTAATTTTTGCACTCTTTGGACAAATAGTGGGTTGGAATCTGTGTTTATGGAGGGGGTTAATGATAATATTCTATATGAGGTGGCAGCTAGAGATTTTCCAGTAGTTTTGGAGGACCTTATTGGTTAACTAATAGATATAGATAATTATTTAAGTGAATAGAGTCAGACATCCTGCTGTAGCAGGGTCATAGTTCCTGATACCACATCCATATCAGACTTTGAACCCATGCTGTTGGGGGCAGCCAAACTGTCCCAAGCAGAAAACCAATATAGGTGAAAGGTGAGGCTCTGCCTACATTGTGGGAAGAAAGGGCATCTCCGAATTGATTGTCCACTGCTCTCTCACCTAAGGCCAAAGCCAATGCTTTGTGTAGGCAATTTAATATAGTTTTAGAATAGAAGGTTGAGGAGAGTGACTTCTGTTGGCTATTTCTTAAAAGGGGCATTTGGGAAAATGTCCAAGTGTGTGATGTTTGTGCAGCATATAAGGTTATACACAAAGTGCCATGTGGTCTGCTCCAACTAGTGCCTTTACCCACTAAACCTAGTATATAAATTGATTTGATTTATTGTTGATCTTCCCCCTTCTAATGGACTCACAGTTATTATTATGGTTGTCAAACGATTTTCCAAGATGGCTCACTTTATACCCCTTAAAAAAAACTCCCCTCCTCAGCAGATTTAGCTAAGATTTTCTCCAGGGAGTTGTTTTTCCTTCATGGTATACAGAATCTAATTGTATCTGATTTCTGGAGGTCTTTTTGCTCAAAGATGGGTATTGTACTGTCATTTTCATTGATTGGGTTGACGTGCTTCCTTGGGCGGAGTTTGCTATAATAATACTACTAACAAATCCTAATGACACTGCCCTTTCTACATTATCTATGGCTTGTTCTCCTCACAGGGATTGCCAGCTCTGGATGAACATATCACTGGGCTATCATGGAATTTTGTGCTGCCTTATGGACATTTCATTTCATCAAAATCATTTTTAATGGATGAAATAAAGCCGAACCAAAATGCAACATGGATGGAATTTGTTTTACCCTGAATTTTTTTAATTTTTTTTTCAGAGTAATTTATTGGGACAGACTGAATTGACTAACATTGCTGCCAGCCTTCCCACGTTTGTCTTATTAAGACTTTATAAGTATGTAGGGGCAGCACCCCTTCCTGTCTCATCAGAGAAATTTGCCTTTTAGCTGATACCAGCAATGTGATCTGTATGTTATAGCCTTATTTAGGGTAAAGTATGTAGGGGTTTATAAAACACCCTTTCATGTCTCATTAGAGACGTTTATACTTTGTCTGATACCAGCAAAGTTTATTGAATGTGTAGAAGCCCTATAAAGGGTTAAATGTTAAAGGGTTTATAAAACACCCCTTTCTGTCTCACTTTGTCTGATATCAGCAAAGTTTATTGTATGTGCAGAAGCCCTATAAAGGGTTAAATGTTAAAGGGTTTATAAAATACCCATTCCTGTCTTATTGGAGACTCTTGGCTGATATCAGCGTATCTAATGGCTAGTGTAGGAACTCACCTATTGAGGCTTGCCTTGACGTGGCTGGTGAGCTTATATATTCAAATGGCCATTTAGAATAGAACTAAAGAGCCTCCTTTTTTGTTCAAATGCACATGGGGATCTAGGCCAGAGCGCAGGTAACGTTTTTCTTTGTTTTTACTATGAATTGTGTTCCTGTGTATATGTCTAAAAAACACTACTGTGTAGTGTAGTCTAATTATAGGGGACCAGGAAACTGGAAATATATAATGGAGACACCTTGAAGGGACATCAATGGGCCCCAAGAGGCTGAATATCTTATTGGTTCCTTATAGGGATAGTTAAGAGAGCCCAGGAGATTGGGCATTTCCTTGGGTCCCTTAGAGAGACATCAGGAGGCTACACACTGTCACTATTAGTGAGGTTTTGCAGTTTGTAAATAGCATCAATTATCTTAGTGAGTAGTGGCTGGTCAGTAAAAGGTAGTAACAACTGTGGAAACAAGCCCAAAGGTGAAATCTAGTCAACAAACCTCTAACAAGAATATGGCATTACAGTATCTACCAAACTTTAATAATTTACTATATTGCTTTTAAATTATCACAGCTGAGGGTACACTGAGGTGTTTTAAGAGGGCAGGGAGTCAAATATTTTTACAAATAAATAAAATAAAACTATATCAACCAGGAGTGCATTATGGTCTTTTTTTCCCCCTCACACCATAGATGACATTGGGAGATTTTAATAAGAAAGGGATGGGCTGCCGACATAC